ATGGGAGAGCCTACAGTGGACAGATGTTAAATATCTCCATCACGGCACAGCATCCCGCGCTTGGAAGAACATATTGAAGACAGGGATCATCCCTGGATACGTTGATCCAACTTCTCAGAGAGACAAATGTCATAAACCATCACAGCGATCTGAGGCATTCTTTAGTTCTAGCACATATTTGAACAATGTTCAAAAGAACCCACACACTTCAGCGGAATCATACAAGTTCAATAACTACAAGAACGAGGTCGAGCTGGTGATCAACATGGAAATCGCCACAAGAGCAGGTTGCAGATTTTGGTTGGGTGCTCAGGGCGCTATCATGACAGAGGACGTGGTACCCGCTGCGGCAATTATTGCAGTTCGCCGCCTCAAACCACACCACATGCATGGCCAGCAGTTATGGCCAGATGGCGACCCATGGGACTACCCGCCATTGGCAGCAAGAGAGCCATTGAGCAAGTACGAGATTTGCGCCTGCCTTCCTGGAGAGCTCATCGACGACCCTCCTGGCTTGGCACCTATCAACCCCGACCAAAACATGGAGCCTCCAAGGACGACTTCAGCGTCAGCACCCTCGGCCAAGCTGGGGGAAACCCCTGCTGGCCGCACATCTGCAGAAGACGCCTTGGATGAGCAAATAGTCCGCGCTATGATTCGTGAGACCAATCACAACGCAGATGATAAAGAGTGGTTAATTGCGTTGTCATACTGTCGCGAAGCTCTTCGACCAATCACATCGAAGATCATGCAAAAAGATTGGGACCGTCGCCCTGCTTCTAATGATGTTCGAATGGGAGACTTCATTGTCGTCAAGAATTGGGGTTCTACCAAATGCTTTCATTACGACAGCCACTGGCCCAAAGGCAATCACAATACCAAGATTGCCTAATCCAAGGGACACATATATGGTCCAATCATCCATTTCGGCATCTTCGACAAGTTCTTTGCGGTACAAGTATCTATTCCCAGCTACGGTTTACGATGAAAAGCAGGCCCCTCAAGGGCGTTGTCTTTGCATTACCGATTCGTATCGAAGAACACGCCATTGACCCAACGTGGATGGAGACCGTCCTGAAAGGTCCGACATCATGCAGCGAAAAGATACTCTAGCACAAGACTGACGGCAGTTTGCCATACCTTGGCATGCCGAGCATTCTTAGACCACGTATTCCGCGTACACCGCCAAGAAGGCCCGCTCCTCGGACACCCGATCCAGACGAGCTGGTGGCCACACCTGCCGAGGACAACGCTCGTGCGGGCGACAATCCTCGACAGACTGCAGCATCATCACGTGATCCATCGATCACCGTTATCGTGGACATATCGAGCATACCGCTCACTGCTGAAGAGAAAGCTGCGAACGACAACGTGAGAGCATACCTCTCGGCAGACATCCAAGCAGATGAGCAGATTGAGGCAAGTATCCTCGACAACATCATTGATCCGCCATCGGACTTCCTTAACCATCCAGATTACGACCCCGACGAGGATTCAAGATGGATTAAACAGTCTGATGACTGCTGTGTGTATTGTTGGACATCGGAGCTGCTGGTGGATTCGCCTATGATCAAGGTGAAACAGATCATTGAGATACACAGTGGCGCAGACAGAATCGTAATGGACAAAACTCAGTCGCATTTACAATTTGAAATTCGATTTGGATCGAAAGCATGGAATGCAGAGTCATACCAATTGAACTACAATCATACCCACAAATGGGCACGTGACTTACCTAATTGCAGTGCAGATCATTTCTTCAAACAGTTGTTACACTACCTCGACCCAGAGACTATCGAGGAGTCGACCACAGGCATCTTTCAATGGATTTCCAAAGTATACCAGAACATCTTGAAAGATAGTACTGCGGAGCTTCCAGATTTCGCCAAAGAGGCCATCCATGAGAACCATCCTGCACTTCAGGCATTGCGCGACCTATTCAAAAATTGTACTGAGACATACGGTAATCCAGATTTTCCTGTATGGGAAGAGCTGGTGGAAACACCTGCTGCGCCTCGTGAGCAAGGCGCTGAGCAGGATATTCCCCAGGATCCAGGCAGCGTTGCGTCTGCAGCTCCCGATCAGGAAACTATGGTACGTATCATAGCCGAACAGACGGGACTCAAGCGCGAGGAGGGCGACAACGAAGCTACCTTGCAAGAGAAAGCTCGCCGTCTTCGTGAGGAGAGCGTATGCCATGGCGGTACCGAGGATACCGACAACACCAAGGTATAGTACAAAGGACTGCCAGGGGAAAGGTTGTCTAGGATCGAGATCGAGGGTTTAAGTAGATCGATCGCTTCCAGACCGAACACCGAGATCAATCGTGAGGCGGTCAATCAGATCGGTCAGAGCCTCGCCCGCGGTCAGGACACCCGCTGGGGATCCCGCGATCACCTCACTTCGGAAGGGGCCCCCGAGACGATCTTGCATCCCATACCGCTCTGTCAGAATTGCGGTCGAGACCTGTCCCCCGGGATTGTCACAGGTGACGGCACATTTTGTGATATCTGTTGGCCGTATACCGTGGCCGTAGGCGCCACGGGTAAGAGCACCGCCACACAGAGCGATCTTGCGTACCTCCAGAAGCTGACGAATTGGATCAAGACGACACTCTCGGAGGACCACATCGCGAGATACATGAAGGACGGTGCGCACGTCATTATGACGGGTGCGCGATCGCATGCAGGCAACGAGAAAGATCAGTTGCGGAGATTGGCCAATGTGTCCAAAAAGAGGCATCCGAAGTGGGTCGAAGCAGGTAGCCCTCCTGCACATGAGTGCAGACTGATGGGCGAAGCCGACGACGACCGACCTCTGTATTACCCATTCGCCAATCTCGTACAACGCTTTCTCAACGACCTCAAGTTCCACCACCAAATGACAGGTGCCCGCGTGAACGTCGGCAAGAAGCCCTGGACAGTGGAGGACATGCGCGATGCGTGGGACATCCTCGACGTCAGCATTAGGACAGGACAGGCTGGTCGGAGGAAATGGTGGCTGAACGAGGGGCGCATCGACAGGCAGACGCGGCAGGCCCGCGGACTGGTCACGGTTTCTCTCCCTAGAAGGGACGGAACCCGTGAACAGTTCACTCAGCGTAAGCTTGCCGCGATTACCAATGAGTTGTTCGGCTCCCTCGATCCAGCACATACCGACCAGGGGGGGGTTGATGCAGGGATGGGAACCGATCCCGATACACAATCCCACCAGTCCGATGATGCTATGGAGCCGCCGCGCCATCCGCGGCCGCCGCCGCGCCCTGCTCCTGGCGATGCTGCTGCGTCCAGCGCCTCAGGCGCGACGGACTACACGCCCGCGGGGCCGCGTGCCAAGAGAGCGCGTACATCAGATTACGCCGCGTACTGGCGTGATGACCTTGAGGACAGCTACTGGTGCCTCAGGTACTGGAGTTACTACATCAACTGTTGGATCTACATCGCGATCAACAACGATGAGTACGTATACATCCAGGACATCACGTACAATGATTGGTTTCGCAACTGGATCCCAAGAACGGCTTGGGAGACATTCGCGACGAGCTACGCGACGTACAACGGCCAGAGGATGTGGGGCCGCAGGTTCTACAAGAACGGCAACGCGTAGTGAGTCGGCCGCAAGGCCCACCGCTCAAGGCACGAACTTCAATATAACCAAAGTTCGTCTTGAGCGGTGGCTATTTCATATCTTAGGCCACTTCATTATATAACAAAAGTGGCCACACACAAATGCCTTTTGCGAACACCGAGGCAGCCTCCTAAGGAGCAGCGCCAACGGGAGTCGCCAAACAGAGTTTTTACATATGATTTTCGTGTTCATCAACGCGACATTTTGTCTGGCCAGACATTCGCTTTCACACAATGATGTGTTTCATTTCAAGATCGCGTTCGTCAACACGATCTTAGCATGCATATTTTAACAAGTTTAAACCTGATTGCGTCGAGAATAATCTGCTAGCTGGTGGCAACACCTGCCTCGCAGAAGCGAGGCAGTTTGCATGTTGCTTTAACGCTCAGATCTTCTGTCTCCGCCCACCCTTGTCTCCTTCTTCTCCGCCCTCGAGTGCCGAAGCGTTTTGGGGGGCGCACCGAGGGGGCACCAAAGCGTGCTTGGAGAAGAAAGGCGGACTTAGGGTGCTCCTTCTAACTTCACTTTGCAGCTGTGGCTTCGCTGATTTTAAGCCCAGCTGCCTTCTGACTTAAGGACTAAAGGAGTTCAGAGGTTACGGATTCCTTCCTCTGTTCCCGAGTCCCGCCTTAACGGGCGGGATTCGGGACGGGGGGTGTGAATGGAACCCGTGTAATACCCTCATATTTATTCCTTATCCTTACCTCTCCTGCGCCTGGCCGTTTGGGCTCAGGTACTGAGATAGATCGATCAGACCTTGATCGTGCGGGAGGGAAAGATATCCATCTATCCTTCCTTCTCTCTACCAACGGATCAGGGGTTCTGTACCCTTGTACTTCAACCCCGTACACAGTAGTCGTACTGCCGCTCGCGCCACGTCTAGGTCAGAACTTGCCCCAGGAGAGGTCCACAGTTGCTTTCAGATTTCCGGCGAGGTTGTGTCGTCTGGTTGTGGCGGCAGCCCCAATCGCGGGGCGCAGCGGACAATAAGTCGAGGTCCGTGCGTTGGCATGCGATTTTTATGCTTCTGTTTGTTTCACCCTTTCTCGAGGACTGCGTCTCGGCACTCTGCTGCCTATGCTGCTGCCCCCCCTCTCCCTTCCTATTCCCCCTCCTTCCATCCTCGGCTGCCACACCCATCCCTCGAAGAGCAACACGGGCTGCGCAATTATCATTTTCGGATGCCCGCGTTGATTTATGGGGTCGGCTCTGGGCACTCCGATTCGGACTGAAAATGGAAGGGGATGGAGAAGGAGGAGAGGAGAGTTTGCCGATGTGGCCAGGAAAGCGGTCAGGGTCGGCGAGAGTCTCAGAGGCGAGACTGGCAGTGGTGATACCCCTGCTGTCCATCGGATGAAATTGCTGCCTCCGAGGTCTTGGTGAAGGCCAGCAACGTGCACGAACATTTCATCAACATCAGCAGACGCCTCAGCGGCATAGCAGGTTGCGGAATCGGGGGGGGGGGACCGATGTTGCCTCTTGTGGGCACCTATTTGGGCGTCTCTCGACCAGAATTGGTCTTTGCCCTTCCCAGGCCCGAGATCGGGGCGAAACCTAGAACACCCACATTGCCATGCCTGCTGGCCAGGGCCATCCCCGGCACCAAGACGTCTTGATTTTTCGCTTCGACGGCCCCCAGAGCTCTTGACCTCATCCCCAGGGCCGGTGGTTCGCCCCGGAGGTATTTTTGACGACGCTGGGGCACGGCATATGCCCCTGTTCCGGAGGCTTCGGATTCTTCAGAGGTCTCCGAGCTCGCCGGAGATTTCTGGATTCCGGAAGTTTGAAGGACAGGCATTGTCCAGATCCTCGAAGATTCTCGGCTCTAGATTGCCTCCAGGAGCCCACCACTTTGAAAAGTCAGCCGCTGCAATCGCCTCCTCGCGACGCTGACGAGGTCTGTTGGTAGGGCTTGCTATCCCGTGCTTGCCACCTCCTTCTTGCCTCCTGGGGGCAGGCGACGGCGGTTGCGGCGCCAGCGGCGGCAGCGACAATGAGGATGACGTCCGACATTCGACGACTGGCGACTATCGACGATGATCGACGACGACGATGACTGACATCCTACGACGTCCGACGACGACCGACGACGATGACTGACGACCGACGATGACTGACGACCGACGACCGAAGACGACCGATGCCGATGACCGATTACCGGGGACGGCCGACGACCGACGACCGATGACCGATAACGAATGTACTCCCGACGACGCGTTCAGCGCGGGTCCCGCCTCCGAGGCCGCTTCTGCAACACCAACCCGCACGTGTTCGCCACGTCGTCATTCGACCATACCTGTAAGGCCCTTGGGAGGGTTTTCGGGGGCTCGGTGCCAAGGTGGAGGAAGGAGAAGGGGGGGGAAGGGAGGAGGAAGGCGGATGACGAGGGTAAGGATGATGATGATGATGATGATGATGATGATGATGATGATGATGATGATGATGATGATGATGATGATGATGATGGTGGCGATGATGATGCTGCTGATGATGATGCTAGTGATGCTGATGCTGTTGATGCTGATGATGCTGATGACGCTGATGATGATGATGCTGGTGATAATGCTAATGATGATGATGATGACGAATATGATGATGATGATGATGATGATGATGATGATGATGATGATGATGATGATGATGACGATGATGATGATGCTGATGATGCTGACGGGGATGATGATGATGATGAAGATGATGATGATGATGATGATGATGATGATGATGCTGATGCTGGTGCTGGTGCTGATGATGATGCTGCTGATGATGATGATGCTGATGATGATGATGATGATGATGGTGGTGATGGTAATGACGCTGATTATGGTGGTGGTGGTGATGCTGGTGGTGATGGTTATGATGGTGATGGTGGTGCTGCTGCTGATGGTGATGGTGGTGATGATGCTGATGACGATGATGGTTACGATGACGATGACGACGACGGCGACGCCGATGACGATGCTGGTGATGCTGATGCTGAAGCTGATGGTAATGATGGTAATGATGGTAATGATGATGATGATGATGATGATGATGATGATGATGATGATGATGATGATGATGATGATGATGATGATGATGATGATGATGACGATGACGATGACGATGAGGATGACGCTTATTACGTTTCCCCTAGCTATACGACCACCCTTCGGGTGATAAGGAGGTTGTGGGGGGAAAGGGGGGGAAACAACATCTGACTCAATCGATCTCACTATCGATCTCACTCAGCGGGACCCCACGGGACACCACGGGACACCTCGGGGCACCACATCGATCTCAGTATCGATCTCACCATCGATCTCCATCAACTGGACACCACGGGACACCTGTCGATCTCACTATCGATCTCACTATCGATCTCATTCAACGGGATACCAAGGGACACCTCGGGGCACCACATCGATCTCAGTATCGATCTCATTATCGATCTCACGATCGATCTCAGTCAACGGGACACCACGGGGCACCACGGGACACCTGTCGATCTCACTATCGATATCACTTTTTGGGTCACCACGGGACACCACGGGAAACCTCTGGGCACCACATCGATCTCAGTATCGATCTCAATATCGATCTCACTATCGATCTCACTCAACGGGACACCACGGGACACCACAGGACACCGCGTGACACCGGCGGGGCATCGCGGGGCACCGGTCGCCGGAGGAGTTACATTTGGTTTGGCCGCGGCCCAGCCACAGGAGGATTTCGGGACACCCGCGGGACACCTGCGGGACTCCGCGGTGCACCGGCCGCCGGAGGAGTCATTTTTGGTCCAGCCGCGGCCCAGCCACAGGAGAATTTCCTCTCGCCCGCCCACGCAGCTTCGCCTCGCCCGCACGCACGCACGGCACGCACGACACGAACCCGAAACCGAAATCGATTTCCCGGTATGGGGGGTCTCCGTTTCACGTCGGACTCGCCCCCCAACCTCCGATATCTTTGTTATTCCCCATTTCCTATCGTGTTCTCCCCCCATATCCCCATGTGTCCGACTCGCCCACATTCAGATCACCTAATCTGAGATTCACTCGCCGCGATCTTGCCGGAGTCGCACATGGGCACCCCAAATGCCAGCGACTTTTTGTTTTCCTGTGACCATTTGTTCTCTTCCTGTGGAGATGGGTCTCGCCCACCTCGACTTTTTTTGTTTCCTGCCACTTCTTTTTCCTGCGGCCTATCCCCCAACGGAACCTTTTTTTCTGCTGCGGGGGGGTCTCCCGGCCTGTGCGGGAAGCCGATCTGGAGGGGGCCAAGGGTTTCTGCATTCGTTTTTTTTCGAGTGACCTTGTTTGTACCAACCCTCCTTGGTTGGGTATTCGTTTTGAATAGAGCACTGCTTGCGCGTCCTTCCTCCCGCCTCCCGCCTCCTGCCTCCCGCCTCACGCCCCGCCCCCCCCCCCGGCTTGTCTCCTCGTGCCCTGCCTGAGGGGCTGCGATCTGCTAATCTGTCGCCATTTTGGAGGGCTGCTGGTGGGTCCAGCGAGGTGAGGCACCGCGCGGATCTGAGCGGTAGCTCGCCGTCCCTGGGGGGCTGCGATCTGCGAAATCGTCGCCTTTTTGGAGGGTTGCTGGTGGGTCCAGCAGAGTGAGGCACCGCGCGGGTCTGAGCGGTAGCTCGCCGTCCCTGGGGGGCTGCGATCTGCGAAATCGTCGCCTTTTTGGAGGGCTGTTGGTGGGTCCAGCGGAGTGATGCACCGCACAGATCTGAGCGGTAGCTCGCCGTCCCTGGGGGGCTGCGATCTGCGAAATGGTCGCCACTTTCGAGGGCTGTTGGTGGGCCCAGCGGAGTGAGACACCGCGCAGATCTAAGCGGTAGCTCGCCGTCCCTGGGGGGCTGCGATCTGCGAAATCGTCGCCTTTTTGGAGGGCTGCTGGTGGGTCCAGCAGAGTGAGACACCGCGCAGATCTGAGCGGTAGCTCGCCGGCCCTGGGGGGCTGCGATCTGCTAATTTGTCGCCATTTTGGAGGGCCACTGGTGGGTCCAGCGGAGTGAGGCACCGCGCGGATGTGAGCGGTAGCTCGCCGTCCCTGGGGGGCTGCGATCTGCGAAATCGTCGCCTTTTTGGAGGGCTGTGGTGGGTCCAGCGGAGTGAGGCATCGCGCGGGTCTGAGCGGTAGCTCGCCGTCCCTGGGGGGCTGCGATCTGCGAAATCGTCGCCTTTTTGGAGGGCTGTTGGTGGGTCCAGCGGAGTGAGGCACCGCGCAGATCTGAGCGGTAGCTCGCCGTCCCTGGGGGGCTGCGATCTGCGAAATTGCCGCGTTTTGGGAGGGCTGCTGTGGTGGGCCCAGCGGAGTGAGACACCGCGCAGATCTAAGCGGTAGCTCGCCGTCCCTGGGGGGCTGCGATCTGCGAAATCGTCGCCTTTTTGGAGGGCTGCTGCTGGTGGGTCCAGCAGAGTGAGGCACCGCGCGGGTCTGAGCGGTAGCTCGCCGTCCCTGGGGGGCTGCGATCTGCGAAATCGTCGCCTTTTTGGAGGGCTGTGGTGGGTCCAGCGGAGTGAGGCACCGCGCGGATGTGAGCGGTAGCTCGCCGTCCCTGGGGGGCTGCGATCTGCGAAATCGTCGCCTTTTTGGAGGGCCACTGGTGGGTCCAGCGGAGTGAGGCATCGCGCGGGTCTGAGCGGTAGCTCGCCGTCCCTGGGGGTCTGCGATCTGCGAAATCGTCGCCTTTTTGGAGGGCTGTTGGTGGGCCCAGCGGAGTCAGGCACCGCGCAGATCTGAGCGGTAGCTCGCCGTCCCTGGGGGGCTGCGATCATGGTCGCCATTTTCGAGGGCTGTTGGTGGGCCCAGCGGAGTGAGACACCGCGCAGATCTAAGCGGTAGCTCGCCGTCCCTGGGGGGCTGCGATCTGCGAAATTGCCGCGTTTTTGGAGGGCTGCTGCTGGTGGGTCCAGCGGAGTGAGGCACCGCGCGGGTCTGAGCGGTAGCTCGCCGGCCCTGGGGGGCTGCGATCTGCTAATCTGTCGCCATTTTGGAGGGCTGCTGGTGGCGACTTCACTTCTAGAGGTTCCCGAGCTTTTTCTCTCGATTTCCTCTTCGCTCTCTCTCTCTCTCTCTCTCTCTCTCCTTCTCTCTCTCTCTCCCTCACTCTCCCTATTTTTTTTTTGGGGGGGGGGGCGAAGAAAACATCCGACTGTAATCCGTCACAGAAGAAATCCTTTTGTAAACGCCCACAAAGGGAATCCTATTGAAATCCCCTACAAAAGCAATCCTATTGTAATCCTCCACGAAAGGAATCCTATTGTAACGCGCCACAAAGGAAATCCTTTTGTGGCGGCCTGGAGAGGTGGGGGGGGGGGCAGAGAAAAAACAAAAAAACACATTTTTTTTGTTTTGTTTTCGGGCGGGAGCGCATAAACTAATAATAAAAATAATGTGTATATATATACATATATATATATGTGTATATGTATATGTATATGTATATGTATATGTATGTATATATATATATATATATATATATATATATATAAAAAAAATAAGGGAACAAAAAGGAAAAAAACGTTTTTTTTTGCCCCCCCCCCTCCCCCCCCCCCCTCCACTGTTCCTGGCTGCCACAAAAGGACCCCCTTTGTGGCAATTACAATGGGATTCCTTTTGTGCCGGATTACAATAGAATTCCTTTTTGTGGAGGATTCCATAGGACTGACTTTTTTTGTTGAGGAATACAATAGGATTCCTTTTTGTGGAGGATTACACGAGAATTTCTTTTGTGGAGGATTACAGTAAAATTCCTTTTGTGGAGAATTCAATAGGATTCCCTTTATGGAAGATTACAATAGGATTCCTTTTCTGGATATTCCAATAGGATGTTCCTTTTGTGGACGATCGCAAGAGGCTCCCCTTTGTGGCGCATTACACTAAAATTCCTTCTGTGGAGGATTACACTAAGATCCCTTTTGTGGAGGATTACATTCGAATTCCTTTTGTGGCGGATTCAATCGAATTCTTTTTGTGGAGGATTACAATAAGATTCCTATTGTGGAGGATTACAATCGATTCCCCTTTGTGGAGGATTCAATAAGGTTTCTTTTGTGGAGACTGACCATAGGATTCCTTTTGTGGAGGATTCAATAGGATTCCTTTTGTGGGTGATTACAAAGGATTCCTACTGTTGCGGATTACACTAGAATTGCTTTTGTGGAGCACTTGAACAGGATTCTATTCGCTATTTTTCCCTTTTCTCTTCTTCCTCGGCAGCTCCACTTCTCTTGGTTGCCACGATGGGGTTCCCCCTGTTGCGAATGACACTAAGATCTCTTATTTGTAAGAAGGCACACTGAAAAATTATTGC